GGATATGGTTCTGAACAAATGGATATGGTTCTGAACAAATGGATATGGTTCTGAACAAATGGATATGGTTCTGAACAAATGGATATGGTTCTGAACAAATGGATATGGTTCTGAACAAATGGATATGGTTCTGAACAAATGGATATGGTTCTGAACAAATGGATATGGTTCTGAACAAATGGATATGGTTCTGAACAAATGGATATGGTTCTGAACAAATGGATATGGTTCTGAACAAATGGATATGGTTCTGAACAAATGGATATGGTTCTGAACAAATGGATATGGTTCTGAACAAATGGATATGGTTCTGAACAAATGGATATGGTTCTGAACAAATGGATATGGTTCTGAACAAATGGATATGGTTCTGAACAAATGGATATGGTTCTGAACAAATGGATATGGTTCTGAACAAATGGATATGGTTCTGAACAAATGGATATGGTTCTGAACAAATGGATATGGTTCTGAACAAATGGATATGGTTCTGAACAAATGGATATGGTTCTGAACAAATGGATATGGTTCTGAACAAATGGATATGGTTCTGAACAAATGGATATGGTTCTGAACAAATGGATATGGTGTCGTAACCATTGTAAGGTAGATCCCACGTACCGAGCTTGGCAGCAAGGGCAGGTTATAGGTTATAGGTGATTAGCGTGTCCAAAAATGGTAATCGATTGTTTTCCCGCATCTCACAGGTAAATTTGATGTTCGGGTGTTTCGAGTTAAGATAGTTCAGAAAGAGGTTTACGTGTGAGGGGTGCTTAAAAAAGAGAAAGGTATCATCGACGTATCGACGATAATGAACGGGTTTGAATTCAGGCGGACATTGTTCAAGCCAGTTCTGTTCGTGATAGCAAGGGACTGCATTTTGTATTTTGTAATTTGTTCAGAACCAAATCCCCATATCCATAATTGTCTAACTGACTTTTCAGTGGTTCTTTTTGACAGTTTACTGATGATGGAGTCTAGTGTTCACCTTCGAAACGTTTAATAAACATTAAATTCTTCACGATTGTGTTAGTCTACCTTTTCATACTTATGGTACAATGCCTGAGTGGCAAACCTATCACAGAATATATATATATACATATATATATATATATATATATATATATATATATATATATATATATATTTATATGCATACACATATATATGCATAATCCCTCTCTCACACACACACATATACATGTATATACATATATATATGTATATATATTTAACCCAATGGTGCCGGGGAAAATGAACAAAAAATGGAGAAAATGCTGTGCCCACTTTTTATGTTTTTCGTGAAATGTCTGCCGATAGATGGCTCTGCTAGCAACTGATTTGAAACGGCGGGAAAAACGTATTTTCACTAATGCTATGAAAATCGATGGTGTTATTTTTATCATAATCATTATAGTTTTTATAATGTTTTTTAACATTAGTAACAGCAAAATAAGATAACGTAAAATATTTCGTAAATCAAAGAAACGGGTAAACGGGCGAGACGGGCGGTACTCGTAACTGGCTCATTGGTGATTTAGTACAAGTGTTGCCATCTATGTGTAAAAACAATCAAATAAGTACTCACGGTGGGCATAGCACGTACGTACACGTCATACCCGGCACCAAGGGGATATATATATATATATATATATGTATGTATGTATGCATATATACATATATATATACACATTAAATGATGTATGTTTATATATATGCACACACATATGTATGTATATATACAAATACATACATATGTATATATATATATATATATATATATATATATATATATATATATATATATACATATGTGCCTATGTATGTTTATATATATATATATGTATGTGTGTGTGTGTGTAGACACAGACACCACACAAATATACATACATATACATGAATGCCAGGTCCTGACTTCTGTCCCAGAATTAATTTCATTACAAAATCGACTGTATCTTATGTACGGTCAGCCTAAGGTCCACAATACTTCTATATTCATATACCATTTAACAATGTCTAAGAAGATGAACGTAACATTTGTGACTGATGTCAACATTGGTAACATACTATCCATCACAGTTAAGTTTGTAAATATTTAGCTACTTGGTGAAAGGAAGGGAATATGTTCCTAATGGTACACACAAAAAATATCAGTGACAGGAATGGATATCTCACATCTAAAACGTAGGGCAATGAAACTTGTAAACAGTAAAATAAATCAGATGACCAGTGCTGCTTAGGATTTTTATGTGGCAAAGTGAGAATCTTTTGCTGCTAAGTCTAAAGTCATGAAGTAAGTCTTTTGTTTCTAGTTTCGCATTCCAGTAAAAATAAATATGCTTATTTTGATAATAATGGTTACAATAGTGACTTGAGATGTCGCTATCGTCAATGATAAATGACAAAAGAAAGCTTTTTCATAACTATGATATAACTTCCGCCCACAAATAAGCTCTCAGTCAATTCATTTTTCATATAGTTACGCAATTGTTAATCCGGAATAATAGCCTGCAAGGTATGTATTTTTCATTCCAATATATTTAGCTGGTGTGTGTGAATTACTGAATGAGAGAATAAGTTTTCTGCATTTTAACCCCTTCTGAATTCCTTTACCCAAT